TTGAATTTTTCAATCTTGAATTAGTTTCAGAACTAGGATGAATGAAACGTAACTGTTTCTGTGCCTTTTTCTTTTCTGCACCAGCGCCATGCATGCAAGCTTTCCCCGCTTCCTGCTACGACCCTTTCCTGTCTTCACCCTTCTCCTCTTCGTGTCGTCCCTCCTTCACCCGTAACTCCTTTCCATCCCCTCTCCCTTCTGGCTTCTCCCCCACTCCTTCTCGTCTGAATCTTGGTCGCGCACCACGCAACTCTTCGCACTCTCCACCTTCCCGCCTTCATCCCCATACAGGAACAACCTACCGATCCCCCCCCAGGGTATTCGAGCCGTCAGGCGACTTCGTGTAAGGAGAATACTCCCCGCGCACGCTGTGATCTGATTGGCTGCGAAGGAACTCACGGGGATCGATATGGCTTTCCCCGGGTGATTAACTTAAACTCTTTCTTCACCCCCTCCTATCCCACACCACCCTTCCCCATCTTCTATTCCCCTCTTCGCAACAATAAAACCTGCAATCTCATCAGAAAATCTCTCTCTCACCCCATCTGCCAGCTTCAGGGAAGTTTTGGCTAGGTGATGCGCAAGTAGCGAGTCGGAAAGTCCGGACGAGCTGACTGCAGTGTATGCAAGGTTGTGCGTCGGGTGCCCACGACGAACTTTGGGATATAGGCAAAATGGTGCAAAAGCTGAGTTGGCGGCGTGACAATCGCTGTGGTATGGAGGATGGTACGAGGCAGTTGGGATCGTCAGTACCTAAGCAAGAAGGGTGTGTGTGTGTACGAGTGGTTGCATGACCAGGGGCCATTATCAGAGAGCAAAAGGCCGGTGCGCCTTGATTTTCAAAGTCTTTTTCTTTTGGTTACTAAAAGCTAAGTCCACAATGAATAGCCAAATGTTGCCCCCCGCCTCCTCAAGCTTGTTTGTATGATCAAGCTCTCTCTCTCTCTCTCTCTCTCTCTCTCTCTCTCTCTCTCTCTCTCTCTCTCTCTCTCTCTCTCTCTCTCTCTCTCTCTCTCTCTCTCTCTCTCTCTCTCTCTCTCTCTCTCTCTCTCTCTCTCTCTCTCTCTCTCTCTCTTTCTTGTTCCTTTGCTCCCGTCTATCTGATGGATGCCAGAATGATCTGATGCTTCCTTGCTCTCGCTCGTCCCTGTTGAATTCAATCGAATCTTGCACGCCCGAGCATTGTTGAATTTAAGGGACCAGTAAACCTAGGTGATCTTAGCGGTTTTTTTTTTTTGTTGATGTGTCTCTTGACAGTTGAGAATTCATGTATGTGAGATTTGTTACACATATGCATCGACTGGGCTAACTAAGCTGAGATTCTGCTAAGACTTCTAGGTGAATGCTTGCTCACCACTCACTCAATGAATGGCAATTGTTGTCTTGATTGGATTGAACCCTCATTTCTTGGATCTGTTTGCCAGATGGATGAAAGGCAATAGAGCACGTAGCATTATGACTGATTACTTCTTTGACTAAATAACTGGTTGAGTGAGCTTATGTGATCTGTTTTTTGCTTATGCCATGTAGACCAATTGCCTCGATCCCATTGGGTGCCGATTTCCCGTATCATCATCGTGACCATTCCCGTATAATGAGGAAAGGAAATGTGTATATGAGTGAGACATAAGGGAAGTTGTCGCCAAGATCGGCGGATGTTGTTACTTTTCACCCAAGACAAGGTGTTCGGGATTCGTTGGGATAAGTTTTATCATTATCGATACACATTTCCCCCCATCCTCTTTATTATTGCCTTTTAACGAATTGATTGCCATCCCATAGACGACCGTTACTTCACAGTTATGAGGATCGGAACGGAAATGCGACCCTCAAATTTGGCATAAATTGGGTGACGTGGTACAACTACGTAAATGTCCACATGACCAGAAACATGCTCCCAAGTTTTTTAGTTGCTTCCATGCAGTTGAACTTGGTCCTAACAGGGCGGATACGGTGGGCATCGCTCCGGAGACGCGCGCCAGCCATAGCTCCCTTCCTATCGTCTGACATATCTCATACCTTCGCCCTCGTCCCTCCCCTTATCCTCTTGCTCCTTCCTCCTCGTCTCTATCTACTCAAGATAGAGAATTTGCCCCTCCTTCCTCTTCTTTATATGATAACCTCCACTCCCAGCCACCACCATGAGCTTCGCACTTGAACCAGCCATCTCTACTTAGCTTCTTCAACCCCGATCGTCTCTGTAGTTTCGTCGAGTCGTTCATCCGTGACCCAGCCTCAATCTACTGCGATTTGCACTGCTATTCGGCCGGCAAGCTAGGTATGCAGCAATGGAAGTGGCGATCTTGACGGATCATGGATCAACCGTGATCTAGGTAGAGGCATCGGTGTTTCTGTGTTTCTCCCGGCCAGGGCGAAGTGACGTGAGAGTGAATGTCGTGTTCAACGACGATCTGTGCAGCATTGACACTCAACGACGCTGCAACGTAATAGGGAGCCTCTACGAGTGGGGGTGTGAAATGGTGACAAATTGGCGGTAGCGACTGGCTAGGCCAGACGATCAGGTGGTAGGTACGGAGTGGATCGCCACTTTCACGCCGCGGTCCAATACATCAGATCCACAGGCCCCACTACTTCCTGCTCTTCGTCCTTTCGACCCTCCTCACAGATGCATCGTCTCTCTATCTTCCCTCTCCCCTCAAATCTTCCAACTCTCTGGCCATCTTGGGCCGATCCCCCACTCTCTCTTGAAAATAGTCAAATAGTCATCCCTCCCTTTCATCCTCTATATATTCGTAATTGGGTTGGATTCGTGGCCACGAGCTTCTGTCTACTCTCGGTGAAGCCGCATTGGGAACGCTATTAGAAAAATCAGGAGGTGGTATTTCCGGACGAGATTTCTCTGCTTCTAGCCCCAGTGTGGCCATTAGATACAACTGGCTTGTCGCGGGACTCCTTTTTGGTGAGGTGGCACAACGCGGGAGAGCGACCGTGGCAAGCAAAATCCTGGTTTTCCTGGCACAGATTGTTGACGACCTGCCTCTAAGCCTCATCTCCTTCAATCCTAGTGATCCAAACTAGACAGCGCCAGTAACCTTGGAGCGGACGCTAGCGCCGATGGTCATGTGGACTGGTTGCATGGAGGACGTTGGACACTTCCTGGCACAACCAAGCCGAGTGGAACTTTCTGAACTTGGACGAGGTCTCCCCCGACAACACTGATCTTCGAGATTTATGGGGTAGCTCACAGAGATAACGGGGGAGTGCCAACTGACGACAATCCTGAATTCATAGCTTTCCCTGATCAGCAAGCAGAGGGAAAACACTATGAATAGGAAGCTGAGGCAGAGTCCACAATTGAAGAGGACGGCGACGAAAAAAAAACAGAAAGTGAGGACGAGGAGGACGAGCCATCGACGGAGGAGCTCGAAGTAGTGCTGCCAATAAGCTCGCGCTTAGCCATACCAATGGATTCCCCGTGAAATCTTTGAGTTACCTGATGAAGCGGCTAGCCACCACGATGGCACAGAATCCTCCTGCGACCGCCGCCGGTCTTGCTCACCATCTCCTTCCTCGTCCGCCACCTTTGCGCTTCGTCCCTATCCTCCTCCAAGCTTGAGCGCTCTGTCCTCGTCCTGTCCTCCTCTGACCTCTTGATTACCTCTCCTTCTCTCTGATCCCCCACATCAAATTTCCCCTCGATTACCGCACCTTCGCCAGCCAGTTTTTCTATCGTCACCGTGTTGCTCGCCCGCTAAGCGAAGTCCACCCCCATAACGTTCTCACGGTTCCCTCCTTTCCTCTCAGCACCCTTCTCTTCAGTGTTGCATGGAGCTATGAAACCGTATGAGCGCGCGTAAGCACACGCGCTA